AGAATGTGGGAGCCTCTCTCTTTGAAGCTTTTGCAAAAACTGTTTCAGAGCAGGGCAGTGGCCCCTGGACCTGTGGAAAAGACCCTTTTTGCTCAGAGCTGCTTTTGGAGGCCCTGGAGGCAGAAGATAGACACAAGAGATTTCCCATCATTTTCTGTAGGTCTCCAGTCTTTCCTGTGAGTTTAAAGTTACTGGGAAAGCCATTTTTCTGCTTACTTGAGAACATCTCCCAAGCTCCTGAGTCCAGTGAGAGGCCAGTTGTAATGGGATTGAAGCTGTTGAGTTTGTTTCCTAGTGCCTCCAACTGATGGAGTGTCATGTTCCAACACAGCAGTACATTTTGTAAAGAGACACACGGCCCGGCGAAAGGCCGGCTCACACTGACTGATGAAGACACAGCCCTCCTTGTTTCCTCTGCCCCTTTTCAAAAGCTAGATGTCAACTCCCAGCTAATATCTTCTGGATGGGTGGCTCTCAACCAGGGGCAACCTGATCTGGAGAGATTTTTGGCTGTCACAACTGGGGTGTGCTGCTGGCATCTAGTGGGTATGGGCCAGGGATGCTGCAGAAGTATTCTGGAACGTGCAGGGCGGTCCCCATCACAGAGGATGATCCAGCCCCAATGTCAACCGTGCTGAGGTTGAGAAACCTGCTCTGGTTCCTATAAAATAACCATCATTTATTGCCTTTATGAGCAAAGAGGTAGCCCCGTCCCCAGAAGCAAACTTCCATGGCAAATCACACCCAGAGAGAGGTGCTGATAAATCCTCACCGCTTTGCCCAGTCTTAGATCCTGTGAGAAGAGACAGAACCTGGAGGCTTTTTCCCCCATGAACAAAATCCTGGCATCCATCTGAGAAACTGTTAAATATCAAACAAGAAAAAAAAATCACCCAGCGTCCTACAGTCCAATTCCAATCGGTTTTTTTCGGAGGTAGGGATGGCCAGTCAGTGGCTGAGTTGCTGTCACATGGCTATGATTATCAAAGCCATTTTTCCATTTTTTTGCCTCCATAATATATTTTTATTATCATTTCAGATGACTGTATAATATTCCATTAAAATGTTCCAGGAGTTGCTTGTGCAAACAAGCACTGACCGTGTGTGTGTGTGTGTGTGTGTATAATTTGACCGTATTTCAGATTATCCCCAGGTGGGGGGTAAAGGGTTGGAAGAGATGAAGATTTAGGGGTGGTGGGCTTTGGGCATCACCAAAATGATCTCTCAAGAGTGCCTCCAGTGATGGGGGAAAAATTCAGGAGCCATTTTTCCAGTAGAGTTTCCTGTATGTTAAGGAGCCCCAGCACCCTGCAGGATGATGCAGTGTCCAGCAGGAGCAGGAGAGCTGTCAGGGGGTAAGGTGAATACCAGCGCATGCCTGACTCAGCACCCTGCCCCATCAGCAAAGCTGAGTTTGCACCCAGGCCCGCCAGCACCCTGAGGAGTCGAAAGGCAACAGGCCAGAGATGGCTCTTGAAGGTACTAGCGCTGGGCAGTCCCCTCCGATGGCCTGGACTCACACTGATTTGGGGCTGGATCATTCTGAGGGGTGGGACTGCAGGACACTGAGCAGCATCCTTGGCCCCCACCCACTTCCAAGCAGCACCCATCCCCCAAGTTGTGACAACCAAAAATGTCTCCAGACACTGCCAAGTGTCCCCTAGGACAGAATCACCTCAGAGTGAGAAATATTAGGTAAGGAGTTCTGTAGACACCTAAGACACTTTGCATCAGTAATTATCTGACTTACTGAAGGCCTAGGTTGTGGCACACATTTAAATACACAAACTGAGTGAAAGGGAGAAAGGAGGTGACTCACAGACACTGGGGAATCACCGTAGTCTATACCATCTAACCCGTCAGGCATTTATTCTGGTGCGTAGTGTGAGCTAGCAACCTGAATTAATGTTTTCCAAATAATTAACACAGCATTTCTCCCCTTGGCACTGCTGACATCTGAGGCCGGATCATTCTATGGGGTGGAGGCCGCCCTGCACATTGTAGGGTATTGAGCAGCATCCCTGGTCTCCACCCACTAGATGCCATGAGCTCCCCTGCCCCAGTCGGGACAACCGAAATGTCTCCAGACATCACCAAGTGTCTTCTGGAGGGGAGGGAACAGGATTGCCCAGCGATGACCAGTGCTCAGGCAAAACCATTCTTCCCATGAAGCCCTCAGGTCTGCTCTGCTAGACCATCTCCTTGCCTGAAGGTGAGGATGCTGCAAACAGGATACAGTGGCAGGGGTGTAACCAGCGTGGAGGGGCTCTCCGCTCCCCTCACCATCTGTCTCTATGTCTCTGCATGTGTCTGTCTCTTCGTCTAGACAGATAGATGATAGATGATAAATAGATAGATGATAGATAGATAGAGAATCTTTCTCTCAATCTCCCTCTTGCCTCTTCTCTTTCATCTCTCAATCTCTCTCTTCTCTCCTTCCCTTCTTTCTGTCTCTATCTCTGTCTGTCTCTGTCTCTCCCCTTCTCTCATCTCCCATCTCACTGCCTCCTCTTTATCCCCCTGACCGCTCCTCTCTCTCCCTCTCTCTCACTCCCTCCCCCTCATCCATTCATGGTCCCAAAGCTTCAGCCCTGAGCAGAGTCCTGGGGAAGCAGAAGCGACTCAGCCTTGGCCCTTCGCCCAGAGCCAGTTAACAAGTGTTTGTTGAGTGACTAACCCAGTGCTAACTCTAACTGAGCTCCGAGGTTGGAGCCGGTGCTTTCACCCCAGGCACTTTACACGAATTCTCGCTTTCGACTCTCCCAACAAGCCAGGGGGGTGGGAGGATAGCCACCCCTGTTTCCCACAGGCAGAAAGTGGGGCTCAGGGAACAGAAGGCTAGCCTGGATCCTGGTGCTGGCGCAAGTGGCAGAACTGGGGCTCAAACCCGGGTTGGCCCCGTGCTGGTGTCTGCACGCTGAAGCGCATCAGCCTGGCCCTGTGCTCCTCCACGCACACTAACTGGGCGTTCAGGGAAGCCCCGGTGAGGCCCCTCGAGGCCTCCTTCTGAACACCCTAGAAAGCTCATTTTCTAGTATAATCCTGGATGGGGATGAACAGGGTCAGGTAATGCAGGTGTTCAGGAGTCTGGCTAGGCAAATGGAGTTCCCCGAGACACTGCAAAAGGAGGCCTGGGGGGGCCGTTCCCCAACAAACTAATGGAGAGTTGTCATGTGACCCAGCCATCCTCTTCCTTGCCAGAGACCCCAAAGAATTAAAAACAAGGGATTCAGACAGATGTGCACACTCATGTTCATAGCAGCAGGATTCACAACAAACCAAAGGTAGAAACAACCCAAATGTCCATGAACAGATGACTATATAAACAAAACATGCTCCATCTACACCGTGGAATATTACTAGGCCATAAAAAGGAATGAAGCACTAACACAGGCTATGATGTGGATGAACCCTGAAAACATTACACTGAATGAGAGAAGCCAGATGCAAAAGGTCACAGTGTATGATTCCATTTATATGCAATGTCCAGAATAAGCAAATCCATAGAGACTGAGTGTAGAATGGTGGGTGTCAAGGGCTTGCGGGGGTGGAGTTAG